GCATCCCTCCTCCGGGAGCATCCCTCCTCCGGGAGCATCCCTTCTCCAGTAGCGCATCCTTTCTCCAGGACCTACCCTGCTGGCTGAGGCTGAGGCGGCTGGAAGGGCCTTAGCTACTGCCCCAGGAGTTCCAGAGTTGCACAGAGGGTGAGAAACTCAGCCACCATCTCACAAAGCTCCTGTTACACAGACAGGAACCCAGGGACCGGAGAGGGCTGAGGAGCACAGGCCCGGGAGGTGCCCTTCTGGTACCCAGGAGTCTACCTCCAGTTCTGAGCCCTCTCCTCACACTTGAGGTTCTCCTATCACCTGCTTATTCCAGCTTCTTTCCACTCCCCTGGCTGAGGTGGGGAAGGGGTTTTACTCTGCAGATGGGTCCTCCATTCTCTGTAGATACTGTTTCCAGGGGGAAAACCATGGTCTCCAGGGCAGGAGGCCGGTGGGGACCCACCAGGGTTAGGCTGAGGCCGCATGAGCAGGTGCCTCTCTTAGAGTTCCCTGGGCCTCGGCAGGCTGGGGTGGGCTCTCCTTGATGAGGGTGAGTCACTATACATGGCCTTGCCAGTCAAACTCAAAGCTCAGCATTCTGAGAGGCGAGCGTGTCTATGTGTGGGTGGGTGGGTGGGGGAGGAAAAAAAAAATCTCTGCCATTTCCTCTTGAGTTCCCGGCTTGTCAAGCCCAGTGAGTCAGCGCCTTTCTCCCACAGAGGGATCTATAGAAGGGCCCAGGGCTTCTCTGCTCTCCAGGGTAACCTGGCTCACGTGGTGATAAATGAGAATGAGCCCTCTCTAAGTAAATCAGAAAATCTTCCTCAGTAGATTTTACCTGCATCTGGGAAAAGGTGGAAGTTCCGCCCAAGAGAGGGGGGCTTTGGGGTACTGCAATTGTAAAGGAATAGGACTGGACCACAATGCTGAGACCTACGTTCTGGTCCCTGCTCTGACCTAGCCAGCTGAGACACAAAAAGAAGCTTCTCTTGGGACCTCGACTAAATTGTGTGGGTTAGAATGGATGATTTCTATGTTTCTAACAACTCCAAATGCCCCCCAAAATGACTAGAGGAATCCCCAGCCTCGTCCCATGTTGGTGATTAAGAGCATGGATTCTACAGTGGACTATTTATATAAAAGCCTAATATGCTAAGTGTCCGACTGAGTAGTCGATGACCAGTCGTTATGATGTGCACTGACCATGAGTGGGCAGATGCTCCAACTGGTAGGTTAGCTTGCTGCTGGGGTCCAGCCGATCGGGACTGGGTGAGACGGGGCCAGACATGCCCTGGAGCTCTCCCTCGGTCCCTCCCCAGCCACCAGCCCTGATTGGGACTGGGCAAGATGGCCCTGATCTCCCTGATCACCAGCCAGGTGGAGGGCCCCCACCTGTGCATGGACTTTCACACACCGGGCCTCTAGTAAATTCTATAATAGCTGAGTTGAACGTGGGCAAGCAAGTCCATCTTTCCATACCAGTTTCCTGGTCCAGGGACAAGGAGTTTACCTACTTCATAGAATGGCAATAAGAACTCATTAATTTAACACACGAAAGGCGGCCAGAGACAGGCCTGGCACACGGTGCTCTCTGTGAATTAGCCGATTAGCACTTGCTATGATCACATTCTTATTTCTGTCCCCACCAAAAACTGCAGGTCAGAGTGTGATTTCAAATTGAGAATTAATTCCCATCAGGATATACACAGCCACTTTCCCAAGTTCCTTCGCTCTGAGAGCATCCTCCTCACAGGCTGGCCCTTGGAGC